CTTTCGAGTTATTAAGGGTGATTTTTACTTCATCGACTTGAACCCGTAGTCTTAAGTCTATGCTCTTTCGTTCAGTTGGTAAAAAGAGTCGGCGTGGATTTGGCTGGTGGGAGAACATGGCTCTTTGTCATGAATAAGCAAAAAATGTGAGGGCGAAAGCCAATAACTTTCAAACTTTGCAGTTCCCTGGATCTTTTAGGGAAACTGGTAGTTGAGAAAGAAATACACCTTTTGGTAAAGAGATATCTAATGTCTGACAAAGAGAGTCTCCATAACTATTCCTAACAAATTTTGATTTACATAATCAGATCTTAAATTATTTACGGATAGGGTTTGTAAGAACACCGCAATCTAAAAGTCTACATTTTTCCACGGCAAATTTCGAACTGTTCAAGAATGGATGGATTATATTCTTTATAGAATCTTCTAAAAATTGTCTCAAGACGAGATAACTAGCTTGTCCTTCTGAAATTTTAGATTACACCGTTATAATCTTGTATTGAGTGAATTTGAACTAACAATACTTTCAATACAATATCAGAGATCCGATCTGGAAGATCGAAGAACCTAACACCTTAAGGCACTACCTCACTATCTTCTACGTATTACGTTTTCTATGCCTATATTATTTTTTCCTTTGCACTTTCAGGTAACTACATGAACCGTGGAGCGCGCGGTAATGCTTCTGGTTTCCGGCTCGCTTCGCTAAATCGTCTAGGCGACACGAAATCCAGCGCCGCCAAAGGTACCACGCTACTGCACTACTTAGTGCAAATGATCGATAAGAAATTCAAAGATTTGCTCAAACTTGAGGATGACATACCGCACGTGCGTGAGGCGTCCAAAGTCTCGCTTGCCGAGATGGACAAAGACATACAAATGTTGCGTACTGGTTTAGCGGATGTGGCGCGTGAAATCGAATTCCATCGCTCTGCGGGACCAGCACAACCGGGCGATCGTTTTCTACCTGTTATGCGCGAATTTCATGCGCAAGCTTCAGTGCGTTTCGCCGAATTGGAAGATAAATTCCAGGATATGAAGACGCGTTTCGATCGTGCGGTGCGTCTTTTCGGTGAAGACGGTGCTGTGCTACAACCCGATGAGTTCTTCGGCATTTTCGATACATTCTTGACCGCATTCACCGAAGCGCGTCAGGATAACGATAATTTCCGTAAGCGGCTGGAGGAGGATGAGAAACGTGCCAAACAGGAGGCTGAGCTTAAAAAACGCACCATCGAACGCAAAAACAAAGAGGGACTAATGTCGTCGGTGGCGCGCAATTTAGGACTGACCTCGTCTGCGAGTACGGCAGGTCGCGATTCGCCAGTGAAGACAGGCGACAACAATAAGGGTGAGTTCGATGATCTAATATCGGCGCTGCGTACCGGCGATGTTTTCGGCGAGGATATGGCGAAGTTTAAGCGCTCGCGTAAGACGCGCGCCAGCAATGGCAGCACGTCCCCGCCGCGGCATGGACTGCATCGTGAAGAAAGTCGCGAGCGCACTGTACGACGGCAGTGAGCGGTTTTAAACAGCGCGTGCGCGCAGTAGTAGGAATTCTAGGTGCCGTGTAAGCGGAAGCTTTTTGTATTCTAATAAAAAATTATCTCACTGTAATGATAATGACACAGCGTAGACTGTGTAGAAATTAGTTATTGTTATATGGATAAAGAATTGGTAGAAAAGCTATGAATGTGTGTAAATTTACTGAGGCGCTTGGACGCGCGCAGACTTTTGTAGCTCCAGTGTAAGCAAACAGCACGCGATATATGTACGTATATGTAGTAATGCTTTTATTATTATTATTATTATTATTATGATTACCTATTAAATACGATTATTATTATTATTACTAAAAGCTATTTAAATATATATACATAAGTTTGTAAAAATTTGAATTTTATTTATATTCATAAATGATATAATTGCACTAAAATAAATATAACGACATATATAATTGAAAAAAAAAGTGTATCAAAATTATTTTTTAAGTTAAATAAGCAGCTATCGATGCCTCGAACATTGGAAGCTTTCATAATGTTCACATGAGGATTTTATGGAAAGCTCACTTTCTTCTTTTTATATAATCTATAGCACTGATGAGTCGAAGCTTTAGCCGGCGAAAGCTAACAAAATGTTGACACAAAGCTTTCATGGAAAGCTCACCCTTTGTAGCCGTCGAAAGCTTTCAGTATGTTGCAACGGAGCTTTTATGTTAAGCTCACTTGTTCTTTTTATGTAGTCAATAGTTATTAAGTATTAAGAATTTTACTAGCAAAAGCTATCAGAATATGCCTTTGCTTTTATGTTTTTACAGAAAGCTTCATTTATTTTTATGGTATCAAAAGTATTTAAGAATAGATGCTTTAAGCAGCGAGAACTTTAATAAGCCCAAACCTTTTATGGACAGCTAACTGTCTTTAATAGTAATTAACAACTCATTTTTTAATGGCGAAAGCTTTCAAAAAGACTACACGAAGCTCTTATAATAATGAGCTCCAGTTTTTATAAAAAACTTACTTTCCTCTTTTTATGTAATCAACAGAATTTAATAATCGGTTCTTCAACTGCGAAAGTTTTGAAAATATTTACATGGATGGAACTTTCATAGAAAGCTGTTTTTTTATTAAACTTTTTACTGTTATAACCTATTTTTACTGGTATTTAACTACAATTTTGCACCAGTGTAGAGTTAAGAACTAATGCCATATAAAATTTGTGGTCCTTGAAAGTTTAAGACTGATCAATTGAGGTTAAGTTTTTATAGAAAAGACCGAAGACTTTATGGAAAACTCATATTTTTCTTTTTATGTAATCAATAGAATTTTTGATCGATTCTACAACTGTGATAACTTTCAGAATATTTACACGGTGCTTTTATGGAAAGCTTAGTTTTCTAATTAAAGTTTATATTGTTATATCTAAACTAAACCAGTTTAGGGAAAAGCCATATAAAATTAATGGTTCTTCAAAGTTCAATTCTGCCACGAAGCTTTATAAGCTTTTTCACATGGAGCTTTTGTGTTTCGAATATTTCTCTTTATGAAAATATTGCTGTTGTTTCTACAATTTTAATTTGTATGATGTGAAGAAAACTAACCCTTCTCAAAAGATTACTCATTAAAGATCGATTGTTGGATGAATCCAAATTGTGGAAAATTTATAATAGTCTCATTTCGGTAGATAATTCATTAGCCAATATAATGTCCAGTTAACGCAAATGTTTGAAAGGTCTCCACATTAGAAATCTATTTAGAATTTACAACTCGTCACTCGGCAGTTTTAATCTACAAAATATATTGGCATCGGTTAAGGCTGCTACAAAAACAACTATAAAAGAATGCAAAGGAGATCATACATATAAGGTCTAACAAAAGTAAGGGAAAATAATGGGGACTATCTATAATACCATAAATATCAGACTGGCAGTGAACGCCTGGAAATAAAAATATTCGGAATATTTTGGATACCAAAAAGTAAGCAAATTGTAAAACAAACAAAAAACAGATTGCCGTAGAAATACCATTGATTAATAAACTATATGTGAATAAATCTGCCGTTCAGTCGCTCAGACTCACTATCTCTCTTGTTGCAAGGGGTAGCCGCTCTTTGCATGTATGACGCTACACTCTCTCTCTTTCTCTCTCTTGCTACAGTCACTAGGGATTACTAGCTGCGTCTTGTGTTATTTGATAAGTAAATCCAATATCATATATGGAAATCGCTTAAGAATAAACAGTCTTTTTCTGTTGAATATGTAGCAAAAAGAGTTTCAATATTAACCCAGTATTAAAAAGGTTTAGATCAATACTAGTATTCGTTCTTAGACGATAGTAAAAGCAGGGATTAGCTGCGCAAGAGTAGATACACCAACAGCAATTTTCTTCAAAGAATCTATAAAATTAAATAAAACAGCTCCTCTTTAGTTCCAGTACGTTGATTTTATCTGGTTTACAAGCACTTCGGTGAAGTCGTACTGCTAACGAATAAATTTACAGCCAACGAGAGCGCGTTTAGAACTCACAAAAAGCCAAAAAACTGCTGTTCTTGGTAGAATCAAACCAAGACTCTCAGCACTTTAACGCCGCTTGATTCTACCCATAATACAGTTGAATCTGATAGATTTTAGTAAACAAAAATCACTCATTATGCATTTTTCTATTAAAAAAACATTTCGAGCTTTCTTTGACTTATTAGTTCTCTTTTTGAGCAGATGGATTCGTAAACAAAGTTCGGTGGAATCACTCTGAATTTTATCTCTGCAGAATATATTCTTTTAACGAAAATAGCTGATTTCGAACTTTCTTTGAGTTATTAGTTCTCTTTTTGGAAAGATGATTCGTAAACAATATTATATAAGCTCGATTTACAGCGTTAAAATGAATCTTATTTCACGTATTTGTAAAAACAAAAAACAAAATTCAAAAAAAACGATTAGTAACTTTTCTTGTTTTTCAAGGACTGGCTTTTTCTCGATCAGTGTATATGGCAATAATCCTTTTCAAATTTTGTGATGTTATCTCGTCAAATAAAAAATTTTCCATACAAGGACTGGATTTTGCTCGATCAGTTTGTATGACAGCTATATACTATAGTGGTCCGATCTGAAGAATTTCTTCGGAGATTATACCGTTGCCTTGGACGATAAACCATGCGAAATTTGGAAGAGATATCTCATGAAATGCAAAAGCTTTCGGTACAAGAACTTGATTTTGATCGTACAGTTTGTGTGGCATATGCAATAATGATCCGATATTGACGGTACCGACAAATGAAGAATGGGGAGAAATTGGAAAGAAAAATACTTGTACAAAATTTTAGATCGATATATCAAAAACTGAGGTTTAGAGTGCTCGTATATACAGACAAACAGACGGACATGCTCATGACTCAACTCGTCATTTACATACATATTATATAGGGTCTCCGACATTCCCTTCTGTGTGTTACCTGAGGTTGGCAAACTTAATATACACTATTCAGGATATAAAAAATATGTTCAGAACTAGTATTGTCTTTTAGGACCAGTAGTAGTTGCTAATTAACTATTTTGTAATCACTGTAGAAATACTGGTTTTCTCCAACGGGTCGTTAATAGCATTTGTAATACAATACTAGCTTATCGTAGCGGCTGACTCATTTTAAATATACATTACATGCAGACGTGAAAACAATCTCAGCAAGCAATGACAAAAGATAGCACGCTTGATTCATTCATTTACATGCTTTGTTCTCAACGACTTGTTTATTTGATTATGCTGCGAGGCGCAAGTGTTTATATTTAACTGAGCGGCTTTACGGAACTCAGTTTAAAATTGAGCTCATTGAAAGCAAGACAGGGTTTATCAGGCAGGAAGTAAATTTTAGGACTTTTTTAGGTGGAGAGTTGCATTTAAATTGCTGAAACAACCGTTATGCGCCGCAAGCTCTTACACCTGCTCTTGTTGCCCCTCATCTGCGGCTTGGCTGCGAAGAAAGCGGCGCCGAATGTGGCATGTCGGGACGAAAATGGCGCCGTAGTTGACTGGTGAGTTCATAAATGCATTAATTATAAGATAAAATAGTTTCACACCCAAGCCCCCCCCCCTAACAGGTTCTACATGTACAAGCTGCCGCGCATACACACCCAGTATGGCGCCCGACGCAACAGCAGCGGTTTCAACTATCTCTACATTACAAGCAACAGCTATGACGCCTGGCGTTTGTCGACACACGAAGTCACCTCCACCGAATCCATGCCAGGCAAACTGCTGCAACGGCTCTTCGATGATGAGCGCGTGCTATTGGTGGCCTACAATGACCAGAAACCCAACAGCAACTCGAGCACGCCGAAAGCACACGCCAAGGGACTGCTAGCGACAGACGGTGCAACAGCAGTTTGGCTGGTACACTCGGTGCCCCGTTACCCGGAAATACCAGTCTATAAATATCCGCTCACAGGCGGTCGTTATGGACAGAGCTTCCTCTGCATGTCACTGCAAGGCAGCGAAGTGGATAAGGTGGCAACGCAATTGCGGCTAATGGTGCCGCTGATTTACTATAAGCGCACACCCGAAGCGGTACTTGCGCGCTTTCCGATACTGCAACAGGTGGTGGCGGGTAAGTGGCAGCGTGAGGCACCCTTTCAGAATAAAGTCAAGCTGGCGACGCTGGGCGGCACAAAATTCAAATCGTTTGCAAAGATCGGCAAGGTGGTAACGGAACTGTATGAGGATGTCATAGCGCCGTCGCTGGACGTCAATCTGCTGGTGGAGACCTGGCGTAATGGTGGCGGGAATTTGGAAACCAACTGCACGCGGAGCGACAAGTGAGTAGAGAAATTATTGCTTGTATAAAAAAAATGTAATATTCTTATTTTGGCACCAAAGAGTCTACAACATAAAAGAAATCAAAGAACAACAACTGCAAATCGCTTTCAATACTACATCCGATCACTCGAAATGGGCGGTATCGCAGGAGAGCGGTTTTCAGCTCTGGCGTTGGCGTATCGGTGGCGGAGATTGGCTTTGTGTAGGCGACATTAATCGACAGAGGGATCAGCTGGTGCGCGGCGGTGGCAGCGTTTGCTTGAAGAACAGCAAGGTGGCGCAACTTTATAGGCAGCTGATACAGGGTTATGAGCCATGTCCAAGGCAAAGTAAATAATAAATGAAGCGAATAAAAGCGTCAGCAGGAGATCTAAAATTAGTCTAAGTACATGCCTACGTACATATGTATGCATATAGTTATGTAAACGAGGAAATATAAAATGTTTAATTTAGCTTAAATAAATGTAAGTTTTTTACACTATTTGCTGATTTTTCAAACTCACACATCGCACATAACCTCAAAGCTTTAGAAATATTAAGCCTTAACGCCTGTTGTTGTTGTTATTGTAGCGACAGAAAATGTTTCTCTCATAATTTTGTGTAATGCCGGCAAGTGGACAAACAGTCTTTGTCCTGCTAAAAATCCAAATCAGTTCGGGTTACGTAGACACGACTATTGTAGGAATCGAGAAGGTGCCATGATTATACATACATATGTATATATTTACTACGTATCCTTAGAATTTCTTTTTGAATCATTAAATCGAATGTAATCAATAAAAATCTGGACCCTTTCCCGAAAGTGGGGTTTACGTAACCAGCGTGGATCTGGATTTCCTTCTGCCCATGGAATGACAATTCAGCAACTCTTAATGATTTTAGGATTTTTTCGGTTGTCAAAACATCAACAACATACACTCATGAAAAATTTAATTCACTCGTATCATTTTATATTTAAATACAATACTTTTTAAAATTATAATTTAATGAAAATCAAACTCACCTGACCACCTTTTATGTACCAGTCTTAAGCATGCTTTAGAAAATTCGTAATTTAGACAAATAAAACTTAAAAATTTTGTATATTTTTCACAACTTGCGCTCGCACTCAACACAACACATTCATCACACGGTAATACATAAAAAAATATTTGGCAAATAATTTTTAAGAATATCGCATGACACATTTTATTTTCATTTTTTTAGGTTAATATTTTAAACTTAAATATTTTAGCATATTTTGATACTAAAACTGCATTCTAAACTTTTTACACACACACAACTTCAACTATGTAAATATTACAAAAACAAATCCAAAAAAATTACTTTTGCTGCTTCATTAGAATTTTGCGCTTCAAACTCTTTACCAACAGCGTATTCTCCAATTGCTTCTTCGGCCGTTTGGCTTCAACTGCGTCAACTTCTGGTGCGTCAGCATCATTACCGTTTCGTAAGCCCTCATCACCATGTCGGCGTTTTAGCTTTTCTTGTATAATCAACTCCATGGCTTTGGTCTTCTTGAAGTGTGAGTCGGTGGGATCAATGTTGAATTTGGCCGATGTATAAACAGCCTTGAAACGGTCATCATTTATATTTATTTGAAAGTTATCTTCGACTGGTTTCGTTTCCTCCGCAATTGCTGATTTCGATTTTTTCAATTGTTTGCGTCGTTTACGTTTCGATTTGGTTTCTTGTTCGGATTTAAGTATTTTCTCTAAGCTGAAGTGTTGCTTGCCTTGTTCTTCCAAATCGTCATCGTCCAAGAGTAGTTGCAGCTCCTTTGCTTGTTTTTCCGCTTCTTCTGCAGCCAGCTGCTTATCCAATTCGTTTTGTTGTTTCTTTAGTTTATCGTGTTTTTTCGCTCTGGGATCAACGTAATCGCCATTAGCGAATTCTTCCGCAAAGTAGGGATCGTTCATATCAATGCCATCGGGTATGCTGTCCGAGTCTGAAGAGATGTCGGCGTCGGGATCTAAGCCACGCGCTTGCAATTTCTTTTTCTTACGTTCCTCTTTGCGTTGTTTATTCTTTTCACTACGTTTTTGCAGCACTTTTTCGATAGGTGTCAGTTGTTGTTTCTTCGCTTGATCCTCGGATTCTTCGGCCTGCTTATCTTTTTCACCCTTTAGCTTATCTATATTCCAGCTTATCTCCATTTCAAATTTATTATTCTTCTTTTTCTGTTCTTTCTCATTGATTTCCGCAAGTAGCGCTTTGTATTTGTTAATTATTTCAAACTTTTTCCGTTTTGGGTTTTCCTTTGCTTTGTTTGGCAGCTCTGTCTCATTTTGCTTTTCCTCTTCAACTGCTGCTTCTTCGCTACTATCATCATCTTCCTCGCTGCTGTATGCAACCATCTTCCGCAGGTCCTTGTCACTAATTTCATTCAATTTTCCGCTGGATAGTTTTTCGCTTAGTTCTTGCCGTTCCATTGCAGTCTCATCCCAAGTCAGATCGACTTTAGCTTGTTGCAAGGCCGTTGTTGTAAACTGACGCGGTTTATAGCCATTTGTGTCCGGTAAATCAGTGCAAACATCGGTGGGCTCGTCTTCGTCGAAAGTGGTATCGTCGGGTATAAAGCGTAAATCAACACGTGTTGCTGTACTCTCATACTCGATGCCATCGCATTCTTTATAAATTTTGTCCGCAGTTGCTATGCTGTCAAAAACTGCCACGGCATAGTAGTAACGTAAGCGGTTTAATTGATACTGGCGTAATTTTTCCATGTGATACTCATCGCCCTCCTCAGCATCGCTGTCTTGCTCTTTGACTATTCCCTCGTCGTCCGAGCCAGATTCAGCTGCATCCTAGAACAAACATACAACTTAAGTTTATGTCCAATTAAAAGTAATATAAATAATACCTTCGCACCATTTACGCCCCTTCCAAGCCCAACAAGTTCAGTAGGACCGTGTATATCCTCTTCACGCATGCGTTCTTTGCCATATTCCGACGGATAAATTTTCACACTCAAAACACTACCTCCAGGTGGCAAAAATGAACTAAATAACACCATCAAATCAACGGCACGTATGCGATCCCAGTCCATATTACAAACCGCTAATCTATTTGTAGACTCCTCTGTAGTCTCCGCTTCTTGATCTAATTCGCCCCAAACATGATCTATATTTGCCTCAAGATCGTCATCTTCATCACTGGACTCGTCATCCGATGAAGAATCCGTTACAAGTCTGCCTTCGCCACGCGCATAATCAACATTTGGATTCAATAAACGTTCACGTAGGGTTTTGGGCACTTCCTCGCCATCGCTAACAAGCTCATCATTTGCACCTTCCTCCTCTTCACTGGGGGTGCTCTCACCTGAATCATCCTCACGAATTATAGCCTTTTCTTCTTTGCGGCGCTCCAACTCCTCCTCTGCTTCCTGATCATCATCCTCAACATGAGTTTTCTGTTGGTTGTTTTCATCTTCGTCTGTTTCGGTATCTGATGAATTGAGCTCATAGTATTTGCGTAGATCGTCGGAATTACTTTTATTAATACGTCGCCCATACTTATCCACGGTGTATTTCACTTTAAATTTATCATCAGTAAACATGCCCTGAAAGCGCTTATCTATCTTCACTTTACGCTGTGTGATAGGAATACCACGAAAACGTGGATCATTGACCAAATGCTGGAAACGTTCATCCTGCCATATAGCAGATGACGTTGACGGCGCATTGGATATGGTTTTATCTTGTGTTGTATCATTTTTCTTCACTTTTACTGATTTTTGTGGTTTGTCTTTAGCCATTTTGCTATTTAAATTGTATAATTCACTATTATATCTCACGAAGTTGAACAAAACACAAAATTCACTTTTTGTAGCGGTAGAAATGCCAAAATATTCTGCACGTGCAGGCAATACAGGGATGTTCAATATGACATTGCTAGGATGGCCAAGTGTTATGTAGTAATGAAATATTGAAAAACTGTTATAATTACTTAATAAAATTTTTTTATAAAATACATATAACGCAAATTTTTAACCGTTAAACTATTTTCATAGCTGTGCTATTATTTAAATTTATTTAACAAATTGTGAATTAAACCATCGAATATAACTATTTAGTCAACATAGCAAAGCTAAAGCTATACGTTTTCGTAATATAGAACTTAAATTATCTTTTCTGAAGAGTTTTAATTGATTTCTGACTTTGTTTTGAGATTATTTTAGATTTATATTTTGTAACGAGTGATTATAATATGAGGATTGTTGATACTATACATTCTTAGGTTTTGCATCACTCAACACTGGCAACAGCTGATTAATTCAACGTAACCAACGTAACCTTATAGAATTTTTTAGAGCGCTAAACTTTAGTTGCTTTGGTTTGTACATTATGTTTTACTGTATTAATTACAAATATTTATCAATTTAATAATGTTATTTTTGTTTAAAGGCACTTGTCACACATTTTATAAAATATATAATGCATTCTTTGATGAGAAGCAATACAAAACAGTTTCTATTTTGGAGCAAACATCTATACAGAACATGTACCTCAAGAATACCAGCTAGAGAAACTAAAGGTAAGTAATATCCAATAACTCTCAGTATTACATTTTGGAAAACGTCTACCTTTAGAAAAACTCGCATACAGGGAAATGATGCAACAACGGCAACAACAAGCCACACGCAGTATTGTGGTTCAAGTACAATCAGAAAAATCATTCCCTGAATTGTATAACTATTGCGCTAGTTTTGGAGAAATCTTGAGTGCTCATCATTACCGCATACAACAGGAAGAGGAACAGCATTATATATTATTAGAGTTTGGCAATGCACAAGAAGCCTCAGCTGCTATTACCGCCTCAGCATACAATGACGAATTATCGGGTGTGCCAGCCCATTCACCTTTTCTATGGTTCAGAGCGACGAGTGGTAAGCGTGCACTCAAAGCAGCAGCAAAATCCACCAAAGCAACTTTAAATACAGTTAGCGGCACTACAATGCTAGATAGCAATGCTTTAACTGATGTCCTCTGTGCGGCACCAAATTTAGATCAACAAATATTAAATCTGCATCGACACACGCAGCTTAATGATCTTGGTGTGCGGTTACGCTTTCTTGCTGCATTACAGGTGGAGCAAGCGGTGTCGGGTATGTTCCCGCACGCAAATGCACAACCCTTCGGTTCATCGGTGAATGGTTTCGGCCGAATGGGCTGCGACTTGGATTTGATATTGCGTTTTGATCGAGAAGTTGTGGGTGCAGATACAGTGCAACAGCGTAATAACGAATCACGTCTTGTATTTCACACGAAGGAGAATCTAACAAATGGGCGTTCGCAAACGCAGCGACAAATGGAAAGTATCGGTGATATGTTGCATCTATTTTTGCCTGGTGTTTGTCATGTGCGGCGTATATTGCAAGCGCGTGTGCCGATTATCAAATATCATCATGAGCATTTGAATTTGGAAGTGGATCTCTCCATGAGTAATCTGTGAGTATCGCTATTAAATAATTTCTTTCCATTATGTGGTGATTGCAAGTGAAGTGTTTCAGTGTATTATTATCTTAACGTCATGAAATATTCGGTTAAAAATTGTATAAACAATTCTACAAATAACTGAAATTTTGTTTCGTGTCTTAAAATGTTATAGTTTGTGAAAATTTATGTGCGAAAAATATCGACAAATTCATTATGTGTCGCAAATTTTAAACTCGCATGAAAATGTTAACTTCGGTTGCACCTTAGATAGAATACCCTTTACAAATAAAAACGATTACTTAATTTTGATCGTTCAGTTGTTTTGGCAGCTATATTTACAATACTATAAGGTTCCGACAAATGAGCAGCTTCTTGGGAGAATAAGACGTGCGTAATTTTTCACAACGATATTTCAAAAACTGAGGACCTAGTTCGCATATATACTGACAGACGGACATGACTTAATCAACTCAGCTCGTTACACTGATGAGTCACATTAATATGAATCTCCGACGTTTTCTTCTGGGTGATACAAACATCAAATTTAATATACCAGCGATAGACGTTTGGAATCTTTTTTTAATTGAATTATTTTAGCTGTCGGGCGGAGTTAAACCAATTGGAAGTGCTCATTAAAATTTGAAAGTTTCATAGAAATCTTTATAATCTTGAATCACACCTCAAAGTGCTCTTGATTGTTTTTGTAACAACAAATATTTTTGTAAATTTTCTTAAATAGTCAATACCCCCCAAAAAAAAAGCGACGCTAATTATTAGCAACACTGTTTTCTTGTTATTTTCTTCCAAATGCAGAAGAAAACAAAAATATTTATTTATTTATTTACGATTTCATTAAAACTATTTGTGCGCTTAGGTGTATTTGTAAAGTTTTCATTTTGTTAACCAAACTTAATATTCTAATAGATAACGGTAAAAATTAAATATGCATGAAAAATATGTATGTATGTGAAAAGTTCATTCGGCGGTTTTGTGGTAAAAAACTAAAGTTGTAAAATTTTCGGTTTCCAACGGAACTCAATGCGCGCATACATCGCTAAATATAAACGTACACATTCCCAGCAACAACTATTGTGCATATTCGACTCCCAACACTGTCTGCTACTACTATCCGCTAACGTTAATTACTCAATGTCGATAGGTCTGCGCTTCATCCTCCTCCTTTTTAACAGCTTGCACCAGCACTAAACTCAAAATGGCGCATACCACATTCAACAGCGCCAACGCCAAGGCCACGCCCACAATCCAAGTTGTCTTGCCCTCGAAAAACCAAGTCAACTCGTCGACACAACCGTTAAAGAAACAATTACCGCTCACTGTGTCGCGACATGAATTTGGCAATGGTTGATGCAAATTCCAATAATCCCACGGTCCAGTGGCGCCACAGCAACCAATATTGCTCTGTATCATATTGAGCACATATGATGAATGTGAATACTCCGAGGTGCTTACCAGATAAGTCAGTGTACGCTGCAGCAACGGCTGCAAGCTCGAGTGCATGGTGCTGTAATCGAGCAATACCGCCGAACCGGCCACACCAGCAACAAAACCAAACGCCTGTGTGCCGAGAAAGACCAAAAGCGCCAGCGTGTTCTCCATCAAAGCGCTAAGGCAACCCAAAAACGACACCGCCATCATAATAACGCTTGTGCCAATTAGTATGTAGACGCCAATATAAAAGGATTGTGCCTGTAATATAGTCAGCCAATTGCTAAAACCCTCTTCGGCGCGCAGCCAGACAGACAGCGCGAACAGTGCGGTCGCAAGCATCCATGCGACAACATTGAGACAGAAAAGTGTGTACTTTACGCAGCCAATTTGCTTCTCTAGCGTATTCTCTTGACGCCCCAAGCCCATTTTATTGTCCTATGAAAACGTTTGAATGTTGTGTTATGTTCAATGGCGATTAACTGTAATGAGAGGGAAACAGGGGATTGTTTAGTATGTTTATTAAATCAAGTTGTGCAGTTTTTAGGTATTTTCTTTAAATTATGCTAAGCGAATTTGTTGGTGGTTTTTATAATAATACTTTTTTTTTGTTTTTATAATTACTTATTTTTACTATTTTTTTATTAAAATTTTTCTTTTACTATATCTTTTAAATATAATGTTTTATTATAATTTTTAATGTAATTGAGTTATCAGTTTTGTGCAAATACAGTTAGCGTTGACTTAATCAATAACTTTATCAATTTTATAGATAAAATGGCTATATTAGGGTATGACTAATAGACAAATAACTTAAGCTGGCGAGTGTCTTTAACAATGTTCGCTTTTAATGAGAGTTTCGAAGTTTTTCGTTGTTAAGTTTAATTTTTAAATTTCGCTGCATGCAAAAAGTACTTAACTTGGCAAAATATTTAATTTTATTTTTATTATTTTTCGTTATTTAAATTTATTTTTTGTTTGTTTATTATACAATATATGGTTTTTCTTTACCATAATTAAATTAAAAACACTTTGCAATTTTATATTATTTTTTATTTCTTTTATATATTTTTTTAATATTTATTTCATTATTTTTATTTATGTTACTAAATTTAACACAAAAATGTCGCATACTTCGAGTCAGTTCATTTGTCTTATTTTTTTACACATTACAGTTACTCCATTAACTTTGTCAATTATTTTGTACACATTTCTTATGGCACTATCTGTGTATGTTTAGCAAATATTGTTATCAGCTCAGTGCTATTGATGATTAATACTGTTGGTGTTGCAACGACAGGTGCTTTGGTACACTAATGCGCATGTGAGGTCATCAAAAGTTTTAAACTAAGCGGAATTTGTGTGTTTCAGAATTGTTTTTGTGTTAAATTTTTTTTATATTTGAAGTTTGGAAAAGCTTATACATCAAGAATTTTATTAATATTTTTGCAAAAATGGTTTTGTATACTTTACTTTTGGTTTATAATTTTTAACAGCACAAAATATAAATTTATTGATATAATTTTATTAAGATTTAGGTTATTTGAATTGAATATTTTGTTATTTTTTCAATTTTTATTTTTCCTTATTTTTTTAACATTTATGTATTGATAATTTTTTATCTTTTATCACACATTTTTTGATTTTATTACTTTACTTTTTTATCTTTTTGTGCTATAATTCTGCTACATTCACACACATTTTTGTCTATCTTTGCAAAGTGAAGACCCCAACGCCCTCATTTTTTCGACGAGTTTCTTCACAAGCGTTGTTGCAATATTTGCAATTCCAAATTGAGTAGCTAAAAATAAGTAAATCAACTTTTTTTTTTTTTGTTTTTTAACTTAGACGTTTTTTATTTTCATTTATTTTAGTATTAAAACATCTTTAATCACCGTTATCATACAAAATATCACCTTTTGAATATCTAACTGCTTTCGAAAAGTTTTTTGAAAATAGCTGCACGCACAAGCTTGTTTATCCAATAAATGTTAAACTTTTTAAAAATTATTTTTTAATAATTTTTATTTTGAATATTTTTCCTTTTTTATATCAAAATGTATGCAGCAAAATTGACCTCGTTACTGGTCTTCCTTCACTGTTCGTAATCGTCGTTGTCGTTCGTTTAGAATTCGCTAAAGAAATCTGTAACAACGTTTTGTGAAAACATGCCTCAAACCCACGGCTAACCAATAACTATACGCCCAAGAAAACTTACAAAACAAAAATTCCAAAAAACCGCGTTCACTCTTAGCAAAGCTACGAAGTGACGCTGATAAGATAAGTTATTGATAAGATATAATATTGGCGCAACATAAAAAAGCATATTCCGTACACGCTTTGGTGCAAACAGGTGCACTATATAACAATTAAACCTGTTGTTTTCTCACATTCCGACACATACAACCATAAAAACATACACTTGTACGCCTCGCAACCTGCTTCCTTCCTCAGCCTAACTTCCTTATCGCAATATCTGTAGTTTTAGTATGGCTTATTGCATATAATGGCACAGGTGAATCAGTTATCTACGTCCGCTACAGCAACAATAAGCGCGTACAAGTGCTACAGCACAATAGTGGCTGGCTTTGTAGTCGCCAGCGTTCGTCGTTTGTTTTGATGTGCCCTTAAGGTTCCTCTTTATCACCTTTACAATTTTATCAATTTGTATAAGCTGATTCATAGTGTTATTCCTGGTAAATTTGGATGATGTATAAATTTGACCATCCTATGCATATTCATTAGTGGGTTATGATACTTAATGAGAATCAAAAGCTTTTCTTGACAAGGAAGCTGCCCAAGGTATTTGAAATAATGTGGTCTATCATCACTGCTCCGTTGCGAATATAGATTGACTAAAATTGTGTATAATTTTTTTCTGTTTCAATTTGATTTGAATTTATTAAATTAAATTTAATTTTTTTGTAATTTAATGTGATTCATTAGTTTTATTTAATTTAATTTACCTTAATTTAATTTGATTTGATTAAATTCAGTTCGATTTATTTGATTTGATTTGATTTGATATGATTTGATTTGATTTGATTGACGTGATATTGTTTCAATATGCGATGTGATAAGATATGATGACATCAAATCCGCAAGGATTTGGCTCTATGTGCCATGATGTGATATGATGTCATATCCTCTTGATATGATTTCAGTCATCGTACTGTGATCTGATAATTGAGTGATATTATGAAACATAGCGGGCCGATTTGTGATGTCATATGATATTATCTAATCCTATGTGAAGTAATATAGTAAGTTATAATGTAGTGTGATGCAAAATATGACGTGATGTAATGTCGTTAATGCGTAATATGCTGTCTTTTATGTTTTTTGAAGTAACGCTCCGAAAATAAATATTTTTCAGTTTGACCTGGTGACCTCATTACTATTTTTTTAAACTCTTAAAAACGATTATCCTTAACTAATTCCAATAATATATTTATCCTATGCGCCCACAGTACCGGTTTCTACATGTCCGAGTTGCTGTATATGTTTGGCGAATTGGATGAACGCGTTCGGCCGTTGACGTTCAGCGTACGACGTTGGGCGCAAGCCTGTGGCCTAACCAATCCCTCACCGGGTCGTTGGATCACAAATTTCTCTCTCACCTGTCTTGTGATTTACTTTTTGCAGCAGATAAAACATCCTATATTGCCCACCATAAACAGCATGATGAAATCCGCCACATCCGATGACATACGCCTAACCGAGGACGGCATCAATTGCAGTTTCAGTCGAGATTTCGAAAGCATCGGCTTTCGTTGTCGCAACACATCGCAATTAAGCGAATTATTGCTGCAGTTCTTCGAATTCTATTCGCAATTTGATTTCCACAATCGCGCGATATCGTTGAACGAAGGACGCGCCATAGCAAAGCCAGATCATTCTGCGCTCTACATAGTCAATCCGCTGGAGCAGGTGAGTTACAAATTCTTTACTTCTTAAAAAAAGTCAACCAACCACTCTATTTTATTCTTACTTTGAAGGTGCTGAATGTGAGTAAAAATGTCAGTCTCGAGGAGTGTGAACGTCTGCGCATTGAAGTGCGTAACGCCGCTTGGATGCTGGAGTCGGAGGTGGAGAACCCCTCACAACCGGAAAGTGAAGGCGATCAATTGGCGTGGGGCATTTTACATTTGTTCAAGTCAAATGAAAAGTCTATCATACGACCGAATATGTTCTTCAGGCCACGCATGGTAGAAGTTAGCGAACTCTTCAACAGCGCAGATGCCGGCACACCAACAACACCAGTCGAATATAAAAATGCTAACTCAAGGCGTGAGATAGAGAGCATAAAGGCGCAGGCGCGCGGTGACTTTAAACAGATGCGCATTAATGCAACGGCAGCAGCGGCGGCAGCCTCAACAACAACTCCAATCAAGGCGGCGAAAGGACGGCGTAGTAGATGAGACCCACCGACTGAATAAGCAATTCTAAAGTTTAGCTGTAAATTGTTAGCTTGCACCCAACTGCCGTTGTTGCTAGTACCGTTAATGTGTAAAATATTTTGTATATAAGTATTTACTGTGTAGTGCGGCCTTATTATTTTAGAAGAAAAGCGCGGTTTTTATAGTTAAATAATGGTTTATTATTATTTGTTTTAACTTTAACGGTATTAACTGACCAACATACAACTACAGTTGTATGTTTATAAAAAGACTCATGCAGAGTTGGATTTGTTTACTTTCGTTTAAGAAACTTATAATTGTTAAGTTTATATATTCGTTAGATAGAAAATAATAAAAATAAAAAGTTAACATTGAGAAATAAAAATTTAAATTTTGAAGTTTAAAGTTTGTAGTGCCCAGAAGGAAACTTCGAACCCCCAATAAAGTAGATATATAAATGACACGCGAACTAGTCTCTTAGTTTTTGAGATATCGATTTGAAGTTTTCCTTTCTCTCCTTTTGTGTCGGAACCAACGATATTGGACCACTATAGCATTTAGCTGCCTTACAAACTGAACGATTAAACTCAAGTTTTTGTATAGACATTTTTTTTATTTGTAAAGATATCTTCACAACATTTTGCATGGATTATTGTCCAAGTTACAATCTCCGAACAAATTGTTTAGTTCGGACCACTACAGCGAAATTTTCTCATAATGAAACGTCGCATAAACACCACTAGCCGTTAGGGGTCACATTAAAAACTTGTATATTCCATAATTTGTGTTCAAAAATGGGAGGAAAAGCTCGGTCAATTATTATATTATTTGAAGTTGTAACTCTCCCCAAGAAATTTTTGAAATTCGAGCCCTTCGCAACAATTCGCATCTTGAGCATACCGTTAGATATAATAATCGAAGTCGTTTCTAAATCAGTCGGGTTTATGCAAATGCAACGAATCCGGCTTTATATCCGCTCAATGACAGTCAATACGACTAATTATTTAGTGAATGATTTCTGGCGCTACCACAACAACAACATGCAATCGAAGATAACAACAAACAGGGTTAGAATAAGCATGACAAAAACAATAAACAAAACCATTACAAACAATAAAATTGAGTAAAGTCGTTAAATGTCTAATCACTGTGAACTGCTGGCGTTTGGTCTCGTTTTTGCTTATTAAGATATAATTTAACATTAAAATAGTTTAGAAAAAACTTAAGATATTAGTGTATGGTAAATTAAAAAATATAATTTCTCATATATATGTAAATAACAATTTATAATTCTTCGTTATATTTTTAATTTTTGTTCCTCTTGATTTTAACACTTTTAATTTATTTTTTTCCCTTAGCTTTTAATTTTCTTATATATTTTTGTGTATTCTGAGTTTTTTTACTTGATATTTTATTTTGTGTTTTATTTTTACTGTTTTATAATATTTTTAATATTTTTTGTTATTACTTTTTTAATTTTTTCGTTAATATGTTTTTTTTTGCTGTTGTTTAGTTTTTATTATTATATATATTGTTGTTGTTATTATTGTTTTTTTTTGCGTTTCTATCTTTACTGCTGTTTGTATTTTGAAATTTGAAATTTTTTTTTTCGTTTCAGATTTTATTTATATATTATTTCATTGTTATATTTTGTTTTTTATTTATATTTTTGTTTATTTATACATAAAATTCTTATACATAATTTACTTATTAATTCTAGTTATTGTCATTATTTCAATAGAATTAATTTTGAAAAGAATTAGAGATAGAGTGTAACTGCACAACGGTGAAATAATTTTTCAGATCCGTTAAGTAGTCTCGAAGCCTATTCAATTCAAACTAACAATCAAATCTTTCCTCTTTATAATTTTAATATAAATAACAGTATTACTATCACTAACTTTGTGTGGGTCTTTCATTTTATTTATTTATATTTTTTACATTTTTATTATTTAAAAATTATTTATCAAATTCCATTAAACCTGGTTCTATTTATTGTAATTTTTTTTAACTTCTGCCTATTCTATTTGTTCATATATATGCAGAAAAACGTTTCTTTTTCCTCCTTATATGTTTGAAATTTTATTTTTTAATTTAAAAATTTTTTTTATTCAACTTTTTTAAGTTTTTTTTTTAAGATATATTTTTTTTATAATGTAATATATTTATTTTTTACTAAGCTATTTACTATGTTATTTCGTACATTTCGTTAAACCCATTTTATTATTTAATTTTATTGTGGCTCCGGTTGTTTAGAACGTGTATTTAAAAACTTATTTTCTTCCATTTTTAAATGTTACATATATTTTTTATTTTAATACTCTGATTTTTATTAAATAAATTCTATTTTACTTTTATTTATTTAATTTTAAACATTTATGCATTTCATATTTTTTTATATTTTGGCTGTTAATTTCGTTTTCCATTTTTTAACAATTATTTCTCTCTTTTTATCTTTTAATATTTTTGTATAATTTTCAATTTGTTACTTTTTGTTATTATTATTATGTTATAAACTATTATTTTTTATTTTAATACTTTTTTGTGTTTTTTGTTTTGTTTTACATTCGTTTATATCCTTTGGTTTTTATTTCTGTTTTTTTTTTTTCAGTTATACTACTATTTAATTTATTTAATTAATGTTTTTTTCAATGATAAAATTTTCTTATTACATTTTTTTTCGGTTATTTTAAATTTTTATCCTTTTCATATTTCGTATAATTTTGCTGTATACTTTCTTTCATTATATAATTATATTATATTTTAATTTTTGTCTACATTTTTTCTCTTTAATACCGTTTTTCTTTATACCTTTTATCAATTATAACTTATTTTATTTTATTTATTTTTAATTTACTTTGGCAACTCATTTCTTTATAGTAGTAACTGTAATTTTAAATTGCTTTTTTCAATGCTTTTTATTGCTTTATTTAATAGTTGGAAATACCAAACGGAGCCAGAATGCGGCCATCGAAAATATTTTACTTTAGCACTTTATTAATTTTAAGTTGCTTAAGTTTCACAAATGTAAGCTATCAGTAAACAAAATATATGTATTTTATGAAAATATTTTGAACTCAATATTTTCTACCTTTTTAGACTAGGCCAGTGCAGGGAGACGTCCAACACCGAGTGAGTATATCAATCGATATTTATTTTTATTTGTTTTGTTTTTAATATTTCCTTGTATTATTTGTTTAATATATGCTACCTTTCAGATCGTACAACCCACTTGGCTCTCGGACAATAATCGCGTAGAAATGCCTACCGATGGCAAAGTACGCATCACGCCGGAGAATCTGCGCGAGACAGCTGAGTGGCGTGCGATCATACAAAAGGCAGTAAATGAGGGGCGTTACGCGGTGAATTTATATCACGTAAGTTTATATACCTACATGGTACATATATACTTTATAATATTGCATAAAACTAAATTTTAATTTAAAAAATTTATTGTTTTTTTGTCACAGGATCTACCAGAATTTAATCCTGAGGAGCATTTTCAACCGCAACCCTTTCCACAACCGCCGCCACAATTCGGTCCACCGCCCTTAGCACCTTTTAATCCACCATGGCTACCACCGTTGGCACCGCTACCGCAACCTAATCCAATGCACAGCATTTGGAGAGATTTTATGGAGAATACGCGTCGCATGTGGGAAAGAAATTAAGTTGTATAAGTTAATATTTATATACATAAGTACTGTGATTAACAATACATAGACATATATTGTTAGGTTTTATAAATTATATTACTTTATTGTGTAAATACCGAGCTTTGTATAGTTTAAAAAAGTATATTTGTTTGTTCAGTATTATTTTTTTTTTTGTAAATCGATTTTGTAAATTTTCTTCTACTTGCAAGGCATGCATATATTAAATGTTTTTATTAACAGCAAAATTGTGGAATAATAATTTCCGGTTAAAACTTGAAAATACCGATTTTATGCATAGGTGTATATATTTTTTTTATATTAGCATACAAACGTTCAGGTCAGGCCAGGCCCTCAAGAAATCCTTGTGCCTTATGTATGACTTGTAGGAAAGAGTAAGCGTGAACGGAGTGAATTAAAGTTCTGTATTTAGACAACTCTGGACTGCAATTCTGGTGAGCTGAGGTGTTTAACGGAATAGAGTCACTTACATGTGAGTGGTTCAATAAGTAGCGGTAGAAGATGCCACTAACGTACGAATTTACTATCGTGTAGTATATTCTCGCAGATGACATCTGTCTAAATTTCAGTCAAATGAATCTCCTAGTTTTATTTCGACAGCGTGTGGCAGCAAGTAGGTCCATGGATTTTAGAATAATGAAAAAAACAGTAATATCGGTTGTTGACTCAATTCTTATTGTTGGAAGGAAAATCGCGCAGTGAAACCAAAGAGCTCTTGGATTCAGTATCGAATGGCTCAGTGGCGACCGTCAAAAAATATGTTTAACAGAGTTTACGTTATCTCATGTCGGGTTTGAAGGATAAAGTGACGCAAGTTCGCGATCTCACATTGGCGGACAATTGGTTAAAGGAGCGCGAGATTGCTAAAACAGTTGGCATATCAAGAACCGCGTGGTGTCTCCGCATAAAATATTAAGCATGAGCAAGCTTTAGTCGTTTTCTCACTTCAGATTAGAAGCGCAACCGTGAAACCACTAGACGGCTATAAGTGAGGCTTATTTTTAGCGCAATCCAAAGGCGGATCTGCGTCATTTCCTAAATGTTAACGAAGCATGAGTCCACCGTTACACACCAGAAACCAAGGAACAATCGTAACAGTAAACTTTACCCAGCGAACTTGCACCAAAGAAGGTGAAAACTGTCCTATAGTCCATATACAAGTAGAGATGATGTCCATCGTTTTCTGAGATTTACCAGGTGTGCTTTTTATAGACTACTTGAAGAAAGACTGTTCCAGTGCTCTACTATGCCGCTTCAAAGTACTGATTCGACGCCGAATTGATAAAATATTTGGCGAGGAAAAGTGCTTTTCCACGATCACAATATAACGGCTCATTCCTTTGCCGCCGCCAAAAAGTTCTAATTAGTATTCTCTAGATTTGGTCTCGTGGGACTTCTTTTTGCTTCCAAACATGAAAAATTTACTCCACGAACAGAAATTTGAAAAGGTTAGCGCCGTAACAGAGAGCTACTTTGCAGAACTCCAAAAAACATATTTTTCAGGCGAGTTAAAAAAGTTGGATCGTCGCAGAGTCAAATGCGTGCAGCTAAAAGAAAACTATGTATGTTGAGAAACATTTTTTTTTAATTTTCGTTTTCTTTAATGGGATAACTACTTATTGGCTCGGTCCCGTGTTCATATATTCTTATCAAAAAGTCAATAACTTAAAACTGGATTACAGAACTTAAAAAACAAATGTTCGAGGTTATGTTGAAAACGTTTTCCAGCAATTTCTCTTTATCATTACGATGAATACCACCATTCTATGACGGCGAATTCCAATCAGGCGAAAGTGCTCAATGAGTAACATGTTAACGGTAACATTAAGGAATCATAACAATACTCTTAGCCCAACAAAGTTATTCGGTACTGATAAGATTATAACCAATTTCATAAAGAACGAAGCGACAGTGATAAGATATGCATAAAATGATATCGCTGCCTCGAAAGCGTTTTCAGTAAGTGTTTAGATTCGACTGTGTTGGGTACTAATTGTAAGTTAAAGTAGAGTTTAGCGGTTCAATTAAAAAAAATAAAATAAATAATATTTGTTTTTATGAGAAATATTTATACGTATATATTTTATTAGCTTTTCAAAGCTTTATATATAAATATGCTTTTACGAGCTATATACAAATGTGAATATAAAATGATAAGCGCCAATTTGCTATCGATTTTACTGTTTTATAAGAGATAACAATCAGTTGAGTCACAAATTATCTATAAGTGTAACGAGTTAAAACGAGTGTCTGTTAAAAAGTAACTTTATTCGAAAAATAATAATACAATCTTTGAATTAACTCGCTAGCATAAATATTTTTATTTATATCAAGAGTTCGTTTCAAGAATCAAGGCTAAGAAGAATTGTAATAAGTCAAATTGACAAGCGTAATCTCGTTATCGCTAAAATAAAAAATATATTGACGCAAATAATGCGACATTCGAACAACTACCACTATTATTAGTTTCATTAGTTAAACAATACAGTAAAACAGTTAATACCAAAAATCAGCCTAGCCTAGATGATTGTGACACGCTACGTCGAAAGCAAAAGGATTGGCCAAACTTGCATAATAATTGTAAACAAAGTCTTCCTATACTTTCTATAATGACGTCACGCACTAATTTGTTCTCAAACGCACACTAAATAGTAACGAAACGAAACTGTCATATCCTCTTTTGCTTTCATACTCGGTTAGAACGCATTAAAAGTAACGGGAAATATAATGAGGGTTCAATGCAGTTGATTTTATCGCTATTTCGCTAACTCGATATCAAAATTGCTATCGGAATTGTTGATAGCTCAATGAATTTATTAACAGCACAAGCAAATAGTTGATAAATCAAGTATTCTACATAACATGTATAACTAATGTTCGACTGTGCTGAGTTAACGAGCTTCTGCCGAGCTTTTTACACCATCTATGTATGTATGTTTTACAAAGATTATATTAGGCCAATTCTAGAAGTCTGAAGGATTTTATGAACACTCCTTATTTAGCAAAAAATTAACGGAGATGTTTTACGTGTTTCTTTAACTGTTCGGTCGATATTATTCTTCAAATTATAGTTCAATATCTGGTAGTACTCTGAAATAATTATGAAATCGATTTTTTCTTCTCTTATAATTTAACTTTTTAATTGTAAAAGAACTGTGGATCACAGTTTATCTATGTAAGTGAAGTGTGTAGTGAGCTTAAATAGTAGTAAAATCCATCTTGTCTAGCAGAAAGTTAGCACAAACCTTTCACTTCGAGTATCACAGATTTTTGAGACCAAATAGAGCATCTATATTTCCTTCACGGCTTTAACTAAAGCTCTAGAGCTCTGCTGATTGTATGATGGGTCTGGAATATCTATATATTTGCAATGTTTTCACTACATAAACTGTGTTTATTTCTTTAAATTTGAAGACGGAGTCTTTGCGGTTACTGTATAAAATTCTAAAAGTTAGGATAAGAATTGATATCTTCAGCGATTGGATATCATAAACAATGTACCTAAAAATAGTTAAGACTCGCAAAAATAATCAATCGTACAGACAATATTATAGCTAAATCTCCAGAATTGTAAATATGTTAGTTGTACTCACCTTTATCTTCTCTCTCTCTCTCTTAATCATAGATCACGCTTGAGAATGAAAAGTAATTTGTTATCGACTATTACATTAGTCGTCTTATGTACTTCTCTAGCAACAGCGGCCGACAACTCCACGAAGCAAAATGCCAATGCAACTACTGATGCAACGACACCTGTACCGAAGGTAAGTAACTAGTATGGAAAGAATGACAATAACAATGGACCGAACCACACCAAAAAAACAAATGGAATCATACTGCAGATACAGCGCCTTCAAATATCAGCCACTCAAAGAGTCATGGGTTCCAGTTACGAAGATAGAAAACATAAAACCACATAGATAAATTTTCCACCCTGGGCTGGTCATGTTATTCCTTTATTTTTTTAAATGCAGAGGACTTACCTTAAAACCTAGCAGTCGTTTTAAGAATACTTAAAACTTGTAGGTCAATTTATTTTCACGTAGGAAGGTGAGCAATTGTTACCGGAGCGTTTAAGTTTAATAGCATGCGTAAAAGCCTAAACCACAGAGATATTTATATATCCCCCAGCTTTCAGTATTTCAAGTTGGAAAGAAGTCAGTCACCTTATTTCGATTCAGTAAAACCATTACTTAAGAATAATGAATGGACTTTAGCTAATGTATCGCCTGGAAATTACCCTATCTATTTTATACCAATATTTTCAAAAACGTTCTTTTTTTTGGAAAACCTGAGCCTAAAGGTTGCCCCATACGAGTATGTTGGGGGGAAGGCCATCTATAATATTTTAATCCGATGTTGTACTTATAAATGCCAGTAATGTGGATGAATGTAAGATCAAAGCCGGTTAAATATTGAAATATTTTCAAAACTCTTGTAGACATTTTTTGTATAAAATGAAAACTGGTGGATCCCTCCACCATTATACATACCTATAAGTATATATCTTCAATGAACTAGAGGAGGGAAAACTGCCACCATTCCTCCCAGGCCCGAAGTTCTCAAGGGCCCGGTGTTCGGCAGCAACCTTTTGCAGAATTTTTTCTCTAAAAATTGACTACGACCTTCCCCAGGCCCCGGTTTTCTCTCTACGGACCTGTATATATTATATAAAAGTATCGTTGCTTTATACATACCGGTCTTTCACTATAATATTTTATATTCAATAAAACGAACTTTCTTTCGTATTGCTTTCAGATTAATGTAATGCAGAGTGATCTATGCAAAAAATGCACCTGCTTAAGCAATCCCAATTACTCGCAGATCGATTGTAGTCAAAGAAAAATGGATCTACTCTTCAGCGACGACGAATGGAAGATTCTACAAAATGGCGATGTCACTTTTGACGTTATAAAGTTTGAGCATAACAATATTAAGAATCTTACAGGCTTCCCTAACTATCCAGTTAAAAATCTCTATTTGGGTTTCAATCAAATTGAAACTATTGCCAAATCCGCATTCGCTAATCTTACAGAACTGGCTAAATTGGATTTGTCACATAATAAATTACAACTTAAAGCATTAGATCCCGATATATTTCGAGGTGCCTACGATGTACATGACTTTTTGCCGCTAGGCAAAATGATTGAATTGGATTTAGGCTACAATGATTTGCATAGTTTGGATGCGGATGTTTTTGAGCATTTACCACATTTAGAAACCTTGATATTGTCCGGCAATACATTTCAAGTGGTCGATCACAACGCTGCAGTAGCTATTTCGGGTTTGGTATTTCTAAAGGTAAGTAAGAAAATTTTGGACTTAAGTAGGTTATTAGTACCAAAATAATATTTAAAGAGTTCCAGTAGACTCAGAACTGAATGTTCGATAAAGATTAATTAAGATCATTTTGATGGAGACATTCATTGCTAATATCTTCCGATTATAAAATTCTACAAAGTTTTAGATAGAGCCCTAGACAGAGACTTTTGTGTAGGTCCATCGATCAACGGAGCTTGGGTTTCCGGTTTCAGTTATCCGCTCGTTCACTTATTCACTCAGCGCATATAGGGAGTAGACCTATAGGTCTACCTATAGGTTCTTTGAGGATATCTAACGACAGGCAAAGTCGAACTCCTAACAACTGTAGGTGAAGAGCTTGAATTGAATCGAGAGAGTCAAGTAATTTTAAAGAAAGTTGTTGGTTGTGCAGCCTATCTTTTGCAGAGAAGACACTAAATACCTCGTCAAATGTTATATGAGAGATTAGCTCGGTTATCTACTGTTAGACGAACTGAACTCCAATCCTAGTCAAAAAAAAATTCCGAATAATTGTTTCTCCGCTTAGCTTTTCTCTTCAAACTTAAGTAACCGTAGGAATTTGTAGTACTGCAAGTCACCTAATCGCTTGGATCGAAGGGCTATATACTTATTTGGTACCACAAGTTTTATATATATACCTAGTAATTTTTATTATACTGGGACCACGATAATATTTATAACAAATCACTTACAAATTATTTCAAGACCTTAGACATGTCATTCATGGAACTAGAAGAGCTACCCGATTATCTACTTCACGGCCCACGTGATTTGGAAACAATCATTTTAACCGGCAACCTGTTCGATGAGCTACCAGATGATTTGAATTTGTCGCCAAATCTACGTGAGTTAGTGCTCGACGAAAATCCCATTGGCAATTTGACTGGCGAGAAGTATGTTTTGTTCAAATATTTAATCCTGGTTTTTTCTAATTTCAATCTATTTATATACGCAGCATATTTCCAACGCTGCCGCTATTGAGGTACTTGAGCATGTCTTATATGCCAGATTTGGAGGAAATTGGTGCCGGCGCATTTTCGGAGTTACAAAGTATGTTAATAACCAACAAATTTCAAAAGTTTGAGCATTCAAATTTATATTTTCTCTTTTTTTTAGATTTAACCACACTAATCTTGGCGAGCAATCCGAAATTAGGCAGAATCGATGTGAGAGCATTTTCGAAGAACACAACAAACCCGGAAATATTGTCTTATCCACCAATGGAGAAGGTAAATTATGGAAATGCTATATAGAAAATGTGGCTACACTCTATATTTATGAAGAGAACTTAAGCCTCACCTAAGGCCTTAGTCCAAAGTGGTATATGGTTCAGAAGAGTTCTCCCAGATTTCATATTCAATCGTACAGACCTTTATTTATCTTGAAATATACCGCTTTATGATTAGTACAGATTTCTTATGAATTAAAAACTACTTTTGGCTAACGGAAAGTTTGATCTGGCTCTCCAAAAGCACAGCAATCTGAATTCTCAAAATAAGTAAGAAAAAGTAGAATTTCTCTGATAAAGAACTGTCGTTTTGCAGTATTCTCCAAAACTATTTGAAGAATGTAGATCTACGCGGCATAATTTCTTTACATAAAATCTTACAAACTAGTGGCAACTCTTTTCGAAAATATTTTATTACTTTTTATTGTAAAACTGTTAGGCCACCGTTCCGAAAAATTATTTTCAATATTAAGTCTGCCAAAACCTTTCAGTTTTATTGCTTTTTGTAGCAATTTCTAACTTTCCTACCTTTTTTTGCCTAAAGTATTATTTAAACAGAGCAGAAATTTCCCTTAAACCTGTTTAATAGGGCATAAAACTGGAACATTTTAATTCTTTGATTAATTAAATCAAGTTAATATTTTAAAAAGGTGGCAAGCCTCTAACAATTTTTTTCAACGGTAAATTTTCTTAAAGTCTTCAGTTTCAGTTTTAGTTTCAATTTAATTCTTATAAATTTAATTGTAATAAAAATTTTAAACAAATGGCAACCCAAATTATAACTTTGTAAAAAATTTTAAAATATATAATCGCTCTTAAAGCTTTTTGTTGTGATATTTTTATTATTTGATGAATGTAATAAAATATGTATATTTTTTAAAGGTGGCAAGCTGTTTCCAAAAAAATTTAAAGCAGTTAGTTTGATTAATTCTTTTCAGTTATACAATATAATCTGCTTTTTTGTTTCTTCTTCTTTCCTATATAGCTTACTTACAAATACTAAATTACTTAAATTAAGTCAACATTTTAAAAAGATGGCAAGACTCTGCAAAATTTTTTCTAAAAATAAGTTTTTTTAAGCTTCAGTTCGAAAAATTCAAACAGGTGGCAACCTTTTTTAAAACTTTATAATAATTTTCATTAATTTATCATACAGAAATCGCTCTAAAATCCTTTTATTGTGACATTTCAATAAATGTATGAATCTTATGAAATCAATTTTTTCAAAAGATGGTAAGCCTTTGCAAAAAATATCTCATATAGAAAGCTTAGACTATTTCATATGTATAATCTTTTTTTCTTTTTATTTGATTTTCCAATTTCTTTGACTTACAAACTTTAAAAAGCTGCAACTGAGTATTATACTGAACAATTATTTTCGACAAATTTCCCAAACTTTGTTTGATTTACAACTTTCAACTAAACCAAATGTTTGGCTTATTCAAACTGTCGACGACTCAATTTTAATTTGAGGAGTGGCGAATCGAAGAAGCTATTGGCAACAAAAACTGACTGTCATATATTAAATAATGTACTTAACAATAAATATTTGTACCGTTTTTTAGCTGCACATTCACAATAACAACCTAACAACTTTGGAGCATAAATTATTTGAACGTTGGGATAAAATAATCGAACTGGACTTACGCTACAACTACTGGACCTGTGATTGCAGCAATCGTTGGCTCATTGAAGTTTTGATGGTGCAAATTAACAACACCACTCCATTGTGGATACACGATGTCAACTGCTATCTGCCGAACGCTTTACGAAATGTACCGCTCATTCAACTCGCCACTGAGGAGAATAGATTAAAATGTACCATAGATAGCAGTAGCTCAAGTGGCGGCCTCTTCTTAATCGGTCTGCTTGTTGGCATTTTATTGTGCATTCCAATATTGTTGGGATCCATTGCAGTTTGGCGTCGTGGTTGCCTGAACTTGAATCGTAACAACTATGGCGCTAACCGTTCATTATACAATCGTGCCAATTTTAGCGATGAATTACACATCTAGCACACGATTTATTTTAATGTTATTTTTTGCTACTTTTTAAGTTTTGTAATAAATTGTGTATATATATAATAATCGCCTGAAGTTTTAATATACATATAATAAAGTTTTATTTTATAAGCAGTTTTAATTTAAATAATATTTCAATATGTAGCATATTCTCCGATAATTGCAAAGATAGTTCGGTATACTGTGGTCAAAGACCGCATGAACCCGAGATCACTATTCCTAAAAATCTAAATTTTTTGTAGACAGTTTAGACATTAAAACTCTCTTTTCACAGAGTTCTTTTCATTAAACGAATCAAGCAACTTCTTATGAGTTCACAATGTGGGCTATCGTCCTTCGTTTAGTAATTTGGAAAGCTGAGTATGCAAGCTGGAAACTTAAAAAACTCTTGCTAACTACAAAAGCCGCTGGACCAACCGAGTTTTTTAATTGCCTCCAAAACAATGAACAAATTTCTGTGGGATTGGTGTACGAAGAGCTTTGGAATGTATTTCAAATCAGTCTGACTTAAACATCACATATACAGCAGTAATGCTAATTATATTTACTATCCTCAAATCTGTCCTTAAAATGTAGGTGCTATCGCGCCCTTGTTGGTGAAGCTTCGGACAAAAATTGCTCGTGATAACTTCTATCAAAGCACTTATGTGAACTTTACCAAGTGGTACTCGTGTTTTCTTTTGTCCACTGACAATACTTCACGAAAATATAATTTTTGTTAGATATATGTACCTATATGCATATGTAGTTGTTGCAACAAGACCTAGTGGCATCCTCATTTATTAATTTTACCTTTTATAAGGTTTTGACTTAATGTTTAACATTTTCTACAATGTTCATTCTTCATTCACCAAAACCAAGTATTTCATACAATGTACTATCCTCTATTTATAGAAAGAAATCGTTTAAAAGCTCGAAGATCGCCTGGTTGCGATAAGATCTTTAGTAGTGGTCATAGTTGATCATAGCGGCACGCAGCAAATTTTGTCAAAAAGATAAGCTGAGTAGTGACTTTTGCTGGCATCTCGTTGGCGAATCTGTACTTTGCGAGCTCTATTCACAGTTCGTTTTTATTACAATCCCAGTTAAAAACTTTCTACTAAAGGTTACCCAGACAAACAATACCAATCCACCAGGTGTACTTTTAATTGATCAGCTATTAGGAGTCGATTTAGTTACATTATTCGGTCTAATCAAAACCGGAATCAGAGTTATAGCTAGGATTCTAACCAATTAACTTCAATTCGGCTTTTAAAACTCTACTCCACCCTTAAAATGACTCGACCAAGTATTCCAGCAGAAATTTTGGTACAAGACGATCCTCTAGTTCGCGATTTTATAAGCATATATTATTTCTCATGTTTTTTAACTCAATTTTTGAGCATAGAGCTCGAGCTTTAGGATGCAATATGGGTGCTATAGGTTTAAAATTCTTCGTGTGATTTGTCAAGAGTTTTAATGGCAATAAAATGAAGATTTAAATACAATATTTTTTCAAAATAAACATACATACATATGTTTGTTGAAATAAAAGTCCATGTTTTATTTTTTTGTTATATATATATATGATTTATTATGTATGTAAGTAACTAATTCGAGGTTATTCGGCTTATACGGAATGTGTTAAGCAAAACTGTTTGAAAAATATTACTCATGTATGTATGTATATAATAAAACTCGTTTGTCTTATACATGCGACAGCTACTCGTATAACAAATTTGTTAGGTTTATATGCATTTGATTTAAAATATTTTCTTCATATATATCTTCTGTTTTCTTTGCTCGATTTTTTTCGTAGTAAGAAAACTAAGTGCTACACGAATACATTTTATATATTAAATCAAGCGATTTTTCAGTTGTAAAATGACATTTCTTAAAATTTTAATGAATCGTGCAAAATATACTTACAATTTTCAAATTATATCATAAACTTGCAGGCTTACAGAATTAGTTACGAAGCTACATGCCAATTTACAGTGAATAGAACTACAGAAGGAGCTACAAAATAGGTTTGAATTTTTTTTAATTCTTTTGTGGTAATTACATAAGTATGTATGCATGTGTTTCGGGATAAAATAGATAGAACAACTTTCTATTTCACAATTTTCGTAAATTCTTGCGTTAATATTTTCACTAATTAACTAACAATTTTCGTTAAATAAGTAGATATATGGGTGTCTATATGTAAGTATGTATATAGGTATGTAGGCTATGGTGCTGCGGATATTAACTATACAAATATATAGCTTTATTTGCTCTTTCCTGCATTCGATAGCCGTCTTTGATTCGCCACTACTCTGCTAGCTAAGTTTGAGCGCCGCGCTCTTACCAAAAAAATTAAAATGGAGAGCAACAACACAGCTATACAGCTCAATATGCTAGAAGAGAGTATGTATGTAGCTTACAGAAGTTACATACATACTTGCTTTTTCGCTACTACCAGATTATACCAGTCTCTTGCATTTATGACAGTTGTTAGTTAGATTCGTCACGCTACAAGGCAAGGTTTGGCGAAGCGAAGACGGCGTATATTTCATACTCCCAAATGAATATAACTAAATATAGATTTAGGCGCGTCCGCATTATCGCACCACCAACATTGCACCAATTTGTTGTATCTTTGCTTGTATGTGTTGCATTTATTAACACTAATATTTTATTTATATCGCTCACGTAACATATATACGCTTATCATTACTTTCTATGCTTGATTCTTCTTGTGTTTGTATGTATGCATATGTGTTTGTATGATTTTTGTTTCTTTCTTTCTCATATAACCGTTAATTTATTGATTTATAACTGTAGATTGATGTGTCTACACATTTTCATTGTCTTATCTAACCTCATCCACATCCTCGCCCTCGGATGAGCTACGTATGGTGTTGTATTGTGAATTGCGACTGCGTAACATGCGTAAGAAGCTACCTACGGCAAAGATGGTTCTTCGATGACGATGAAATATACCCTGGTATAAGGCCTCACGTAACGTTTTACGATCCTCCACATCGACTGAGGAGGTAAGCGATGTTTGATGTGGTAAGCGCGCTGAAAGGTATGTAAGAGAGGAATGGTAGCGGTTAGTAGAAATAAAAAAAAAATAGATAGAGAATAGTTTTTTAAATCATTAAATCTCATACAATAAATTATAACCTTTCGAAAGAACCAAAATTTGGACACTCTTCGGAGGTGTATGTAATTTAAAGATTGTAATTTCTAGAGATAATACAATTTTGGTAGGAATAGTCCAAACCACCGAGCTCTTTACTTTAAAATTTGTCAGCTCATATACATATACTTGGTAGTAGTAAATTAAAAAAACAAAACCTTTCCAACTTTTTGTACTAAATGAGTTACTAGGCAGGCTGAGAGGCCGTTAGGAAACCTACATACGAGTATATTAAAACCAATAACATAAAGGGTCAAACAAAAGAAATTGTGCTGTGTATTTAGTAGGCCAAGTAAAGTCAATTAAGCATTATTTCATATCCACTTGTCAACTGTCATCCATCTAATCCACGATTACCGCGCTATAGTAAACTCGTTAAATATCCGTCAGGTGTTTATTTATAATGTCAATAAGAATAATAGGTTCACAATTAAATGCGCGACTGATTGGATCTTTTTTTTTTTTTTTAATATTACTTATTTTTGTTGAATGTTCCGCCTAAGCGATTTTGTCGATCTGCAATTGAGTTCCTGTCTCTGTAACTTCGAACTCGAAACTCCAAGTGAAATGGGTTTTCTCTACTTGATCTTTTCAACCTTACGTTGTTTCTATGTTCCTATGCTATCTCCAGAATTTGCCGCATGATTAACTTTACTCGTAACATGTTGATAGTCGGCAATTATTCGTACATTTACTAATATTTTGTTTTGTTGAACAATAGAGCTATATACTTACATATAATTATTTATAAATTAATTATGTAGAGCTGATTTCTTTTACAGATTATGTTGTTTTAAATACACATTAAAAAGACCGTATGTTGGAGTTTTTGGCAGAATCAGTATTTCACTTTAGCAGACCCATTCTCAGCATGAGCGTCATATGAACTGACTATGAATGAAAACTCCGAGGCGTTATTTTCAAAGAACACTACCTTTTGGATACATAGGGAGGTATAGTACACCATGGTCATGTCGAAAGATGGTTTAAAGATTTAGTTGAATGCATGATTATTTTCTAAACAACTTGTGTTGTTACGTTCCCTTCGAAACAAATTCGAACAGTGAGGTCATAATAACTTTTTGCCTATATCCGGAAAATATTCTTATGGTTATTTCTATAAGCAGTTTGCTGATGTCAAGATGTACCAATATCGAAATAAGTTAGGCAAGGGAGAGAACTTTTAGAATAAATTAAAGTTTTAAAATCAGAGTCATTTTAAAACTATTACGTAGATATTTTCAGGGCCTTCTCTATGCGAAAATATATTTCTGCATAACTTTAACGAGTATTAAAGTTAAAAAGAAAAGATTTTCAAAACAAACTAATTAACACATGTATTTTAAAATTGTATAAGGAACTTGTTCTTGAAACAACGTTATGTCTATCCTCATATTTGTTTCAAATAAAATTGAATTCAGACCATCAGTCTTTAATATATCTATTACTCACCTATTGGTGATTTGGGTGATTTAATCGAAAATTCGTCCAACTCCTTCCCCGTCAAATCCAATTTGAGTACTTTCTTCGTTAGCTCCTTAGTGGCCGCATCCAAGTTCGATTTTTTGGCAATCTTTATATCGACATTACGCTGACTAACCGCACTTTTCGATACGGCACCGGCAGTAGTCTTATGTGCTTGCTGTTTCTCCGAATTTTGTAGCTCGGCGGGTGAGTCCAACTCAGACATTTTAGCCAGTTTCTGTTTTATTGGCGATTTCTGATTGGTTTTCAATATTTCGTCGTCCACCAAATGCGGTTTTTCCTCCTGCTCCTCTTTCTTTATTTGTAATTGTTGTTGCTGCTGCTGCTGTTGAGTGCTCGAAGTGGTGGTGGTGGTTGTATTTGACGCAGCCGATGTGGATGAGGCGGACGATGTTGGCGATAGTACGGCTATATTGATTGTTTCTGCTGAGGTCGCTGTCGCTGTTGCTGTTGCTGCTGTCGATGACTTTTGACGATGTGCGATTGCAACCATTGTTTACAGCGACGATGACGCGCGAAAAACCGTTGGATAAATCAAAATAAAATAACAACAACAATAATGTTATCGGTGGTAACGGTCTACTGCGTCGAACACACTTGATGTTGCACTTTAGTTGGACAATGAATGGATGCTGGCACGAAAAATGTTAAGCTACGATGGCTTACGATGATATCGGTCGGTTGTTGGTTCGTTAATTCTTCTACACTTCGCTTGTTTGTTGAGTTTCTTGAGAGATGAAGTATTTGCTGCTGTGCTTAAGTTGCGTGAAGTGGCAGGACACTTGAGTTTGTACAAATAGTGACGGCAAGGCTGTGTTGGAGAAAAAGAGAAAATAATTACAGTTAAGTTTTCGATATGTAGCAGTGCAGAGCAAAGTAATATGAGCTGAAAAACATAATATAATGACGTACATGCATCTTAATTTATTATAATCTCAAGGAAAGTAAGAAAACACGTTAGCTTCGTATTCCTTCACAATTGCAAAAGATGTGATGTTCATGTATGGAGAATCTGATTTTGATCGGTCAGTTTGTATGGCAGCTATATGTTGATATAGTATGATTTGAACATTTTCTTCGGAGACTGTTGCCTTGGGCAATAATCCGTACCAAGACTGATTTGGATCGGTCAGTTTACATGGCAGCTACATGCTATAGTGGTCCGATATCGGCGGTTCCGACAAATGGGTAGATTCGTGGGGAGAAAAGGACGTGTGCAAACTTTCAGATCGATGTTTTAAACCTAAGAGATTAGTTCGCTTATATAGGCAGACGGACGGACGTCCAGTCGGACAAAGCAAAATCGATGCAACTCATCATTCTAATCATTTATATTTTTTATAGGGTCTCCAACGTTTCCTTCTGGGTGTTACAAACTTAATATACCCTGTTCAGGATATATTAAGAACTAAGCTTTCACTTTGGCTTTGAAAAAAGCATTTGGAAGCTCTAGGTGGACTTAATATGAACTTTTCTCGCATCAACAAATTAGCTTATAGCTAGCCCCAGCTAACTCATTTGCTAGATTATTTTTCGAACTTTTGGATCCTGCTCATGATATAGTTCATTCCTGTTCTAGATTTAAGAGTGGAAGCACTAAATCGAGTCTTATAATCAACGTAAAGGTTTACCAGTAGATGTTTTTTTCCTAAACTAGATAAAGACTCCAAATAAAAAAAATCTGAAAACTTATCTGAAGTTATTTATCTGTAGTTAATGGTCGGTGAAAGTGAATACAGGTCGGCTGATCAGAGTTCTAACTCTTAAGGCTGCAAGGCTTTCTCTATCTTTATGCAGCTGGATCTTAAATACGACGATTTGAGTTAGTGGAATTTTTCTGAGCCGATTTGAAATTATTAGGCCATTGAAATTACCTAAGTTTACAAATGTATTTGAAGCGATTTGTATAAAGTGGTATGTTATTAACTTGAAAAGTTAAAAGACAATCCGATGTATCCGTTACAATTAATTCTCTTTCTTCAGAACATAAAACACAACGTTCTGAAAATAATCACGTACACTCTTCCATATTCGTGTCTCACCTTTTACGGTGGCCGCGCCTCGCTGTTATAGTAGACTTCGTCAGGAATATCGAGACTCGAATACGAGGTACCGAATTTCGTTTGTCTCAGCGTGAAACCGTTACGACGCGCCGACGTTTGCACCAGCTGCTGATTTTGCTCAGCGACTTGCGAATCGAACGCGTTGTAGGCACTAAAATTGTTGCTATTGTAAGCGTTGTCAAATTGAAATGCAAAAGCGTTATCGTTGCTATGGCTTGTTGTTGTCGTATCAGTATGCGCTACCTCTACTGGCTCCGCATTAGCAATGGTTGAACAATCTGTTAATGTAATTTTCGGCAATGACGCATCAATATCACTTATCTCTAATTGCATTAGATGATCAATTAATTCATGGAAATGCGCGCGCGCTGCCACTGTTGTTGTAGTTATTGCGGTTGACGAATTGGCATTCAAATAATCGTTCATGCTACAACCATCAGGCGTACGCGCTACTGGCGTGGTTGGCGTGTTCGACGTGGTCGGCGGCGCGACGTTCTTTTGCCGCGTCGCTTTTAACGCTTTTACCGCGCGCCCCACAAACGGTTTAATGTTAACGCGTATCGCGCACGGATTATGTTGCAAGCGCTCTGCAGGCGGCGCGTTTACAGCAGTGGCGCTACAGCCAACTTTGAAGGTGCGCTTACGGCCAATGCGTCGCAATAAATTCGTTAAACGAAAGCAGTGCTCTGCGCTGCGCACACGTGGCGTACTAACCGGCGTATTCGTGGCGCTGCTATCGCGCGAAGTTGTCCCCTCGTTGCTGCTGCTGCGCGTCGTTTGTGACGTTTGCCCGCACGCTGTTGCAAATCTGCGTTGCTCGCGTAGCGCGGCGTTCCGCCTGCCGATAGCTTGTAGGTACTCGACGTGCCGCAACACTCCTTGATCGTAGTATTCACAAGCTAAGCGCAAGTAGTTTTCGGTGGTGATTAAAGCTCTGACTGCTGTTGCACTAACCGGTTGTTCGTTCTTGCTGTAATTAACGGTATGCGTTCCCGCTTGGTGTGTGTACGTGCTAACCTTTGTAAACGCTGTAGCGCAATGCTGATTTCGTGTTACTTTGTGGCCATCACTTTCTGCACTAGCTGTACGCGCCGTTTGCTTTGCCACTGGCACTTTTTGGTACAAATTTTGTTTATTATTTTCTTGTTTACTACGTGACACTTGCAATACTTGTGCTTTCACTTTCTCTACGCTGTCATTTGCACTACTATTGTCAGCGTCATCATCAACATACCCATCATTATAATCGTGCAATTTTCCATTAGCATTAGTGCTGTCTGCATTGACGTCAGCGCCGCTATTTATCTGCCGCTTTGATGACTTCTCGTCTTCTACTTTATCTGTTGTGGCGCAATTAAACGCTTTGCGGCTACAAAACCCTTCACCTTCGGCGTTCGTGTGCTGACGATAGCGCGCGTCAACCCTTTCGTTGCAGTAATTGGTCACGCTGCGCTTACCCTGCGCGGTCTGCAACCGCAACTGTCTGTCGACCAGCAATTTAAGTTCCTTATAGCTGTGCGCCTGACGAATACGTCGTACTGTCCCGTTGTACGTATCGTCTGGCGGCGCGTTCTCACACAATGTCTGACGACCGCGCGGTGTTGTATAAACGGCAGTGAATCTGTAATTAGTCCAATGTGTGGTGAGGCATTAAACAACAAGTTGACCGGGGGTCCAACAATACAAAATTCTACACACTACATACAAATGTATATACATATAGGAGAAAGCAGCAAATAAGTAGAAATAAAAAAGGGAGTAAAAGACAGTGGAGAGACGAAAGAGAAAAGAAAATCAGACAAATGGGCGAGCGGCTTTTCGTAGCTTTATGCGTCCGCATTGTTGGTTGTTTGCGGTTGACTGTACACTGTTGCTAAACCTTATGTTGAAGAGCTTGTTGCACACAGACGCATCTACAACTTGACATGACTGTCATCCCTGACAGGTGCCTTGGCGTAAGGGCTACCTTTCTGAATAATTTATTATGACTTAATGCATGCCTGGCTGGTCACTTCGGTAATACATAAAGCACAGTGTTTTAAGTGTACTTAAAAAGTTGATAACAAACACAAAGCTTCTGAGAGGTCACTCAAAGTAAATGGGCCTTTGAACTTAGAACTGGCGCTGTGACACAATATACCATTATTTGTTGTAGATGAGATTTGAGAACAATAGCGCGTCAAGTGATCGATGGTGTGCTGTTATTGATAGATAATTCACAAAAGAAGCGTTATAAGTCAAAATCTCTCCAAAGTAAATGTGAGGTGTATGTAGTGTATAGTGCTGAGGGAAAAAGTTTTTGAAAAGAGCTAAAATGTACTTACGGCAACCAACATACTTATAAACTCGTAGCCTACTGCAACTTAATTATTTTTATTTAATATTTATTTGAAAGCTTGTGAGTGGATATTTAAGTACCCAAGAAGATATATAAGTATAGAGTACCATTTTTTTATTTATCCATCCATTTTTTTTATTAATTTATTTTCTTCATTTATGGTACATTTATCGGGTTACCTTGGTTGGTTTCACAGTAAAGTATCCTTCTCAAACAGTTTTGAAAAAAAACTTTGGGTGCTTTTTGGCAAGCAAAATTAAGAGAATAAATCGGTAAAAGAATGTTAACGACTTTAACCGAGATGATCATAAAGCATAAAGAAGTACGCAGGTACCGCTGACAAGCTCTACGCTGGCTTACAGATATTTTTCAATGTTACTAGATTTCTTAGGTTATACTATACTGAACAAAAGACGCATTAAGAGCAGTAATTGCAGACTTAAGTCCTCGATGATAAGCTATAAAAAACAAAATGTTATCGGAGGACTGCATTCATGTCTACGAAGCAAAAAAATTACTGGCAATGTACGCAGTATAGTCGAAAAACATCGAAGATAAGCTATAAAGAAGTAGTAAAGCGAACTGAACCGATAACTGACAAGGACAATGCAAGATTTTTTTATTTTTTATAACTCGTTAAAGCTATTCGTAACTGGTCAACCTTTAAAACACTGTTTTCAAGCTTTAAAACACTGTTAAAGACTCATGAGTTTGAGTTTCTGAGTCATTAAAATTTTTATATCCGCAATAACAGGCAATATTCGTCCTTTCAGAAATCTTCGCAGTTTTGAAAAAAAATAAAAGTTGCAGAAACATAGATTCGACTGACTACAGATTTTTGTCGTAAACCAAACCAGCTTAACAAAATATTTAAAGGTTTTGGCCCCTCCTCGGTCGATGCCGGACTTTTGAGCTTTGAGACATTTCTTTAAACAAACCTGGGGTCACACACTATTTGAAACCATTTGATATCTTGAGATATCTCCTTTTAGTTAAAAGTCATTTTATTTACCTCTTGAAAGGTTTGAATTAGTATGTTATTCTAACTACATGAGCCAGAATACTATGTATTTCCAGACAGTTAAGTAGTGCTTCGGTTAACACATTATTAGTTGGCCCTAACCTAACAAAAAAGTTTTATGTTTTAATCAGGCTCAAAACCGTTTTCGAAATCAAACAAATTGCGGTAATAAAATAGCACATTTATAGAAGACTTTTACTAGATATAATAGTAATGAAATATAGCGCTAAAATCGAAAGCAAAATTTTAAAGTTTCATAGAAATGGAATATATGTAATCATATACAAACACATGCATAATTCTAACAAAAATATTAATACGTATAGCTATTTAAAATAATCCAAAAAGTCACAAATACTTTTTTGCAAACAACATATTCAATGAGATAAGCCCACTCTGCTACATATAATTTTTATCAACATTGTTCTTCAGAAATGCAAAGATTTTTCTTAAGAAGAGAGAATTATAATATATAATATATACAATTTTTTTTGATAACATATCTAATACACTTAACCCACTGTGCAACTTAAATTCCGAATCCTTATTAATACTGCTCTTCTATAGTGAGAAATAAAACCATTGTCTTCAAAGATGGACACCACCAAATAGAAAACCGAAAAAACCGATGAGTGCCATTTAAATAACTCTGGATATAAAAAGAAGCTCGATGTATGGGTGCCATAAGAGTATGTATGATGACCGTATATATGGGACCGATCGACGTGCAGCGAAATCCGTAGCGGTCGATTTGCGGTAGCCAAGCCAGGATTATCAGTCAGGAAAGTTTGCTATGTATTTGGTGGTGGGATTAGCAGGGAATCATCTATTATGAGCTGCTCTCTTAATTCGCACATGTATTATCAACAACTGGACCGTCTGCAGTAAGCAATCGCACAAACTTGGCTGGATTTGCCCAATACGAGAGGAATTGTATTCCATCAGTACAACGGTGGACCACACACTTCGATAGTGACTCACTAGAAGTTCCGGCAGCTTGGTTGGGATATTCTTATGATTCCACCTTATAGTTTGGATCTGTGATCAAAATATTACTACCAGTTCCTGTCTATGGCGACTGATTTTGCTAGCGAAAAATTCGACTCAAGACAAGCTAATGAAAAGCGACTGCCCCAGTTTTTGCCCATAGGGACAAGGGTTTCTATAAGAGTGGCGTTTTAAAACAACACTGCGCTTCTTAATAATTATTTTACAGATATTTAACACTTTTAACCCACTGTGCAAGTTATAAACCCAACCAACGACACTATTCAACAGGCGCTTATAATATATGTAGGTACATATATACTTATGCCTGTAATACATATATACACATGCTTCATATATTTTTCTACGCGATGGCATCGCTGTGTATCGTTAGTTGACGCTTTATATCTATCTAACGGTATTCAGCATTCAATTCTCACTCATCCCCCAACTTTCTTACCACACAAATGGCTGTTGTTATTACTATGGTTGTACTTGTACATTGGTGTTTACTTTTGTGGCTTTTATTTGCGCACTTTCCACACACATTCTACAGCCATAAAAAATGGTATAACATTTTCTTTGGATTTTTTGCTTTGTTGGCGTTTGTGTGACTGTTGCATTTAGTAGTTAGCAGCTTTTAGGTGAATGCCTTAATGAAGCGCTAAAGTACATGTTTGGCTTCTTTTAATTTCTTGTCGCAAAAGTTCATTTGAAAATTACACTTGGTGACCTTGTCCTTATACGAGTATATAAGTGTATATATGAGGGGATATAAAAACTTTTTTCTTAGAACTTTCTTCAGGTTAAATATAGTCGATTTAATTGTTGGTGAGTGCGCGCCCAGCTGTTACGGGTAATTATTTGTTTTGTCTGTTTTGATTATGTTTACCGTAACGAGCTGATCTTAAAAGAGATTACTTCTTATAAGTTTGGTAAAGGATTCTTTATGGATTGCAACAACTATTTATTATACCAAAGTACTTTGCTTAAATCAGTGGCTTTTTCGCCATAAACTCAAGTGTAAGATTTTATGTTTATAGAATCATTGTGTTTAATTCGATGATTGACTAAGATTAACTATCATAACAGCCAAAACCTTATGATTATTTGTTGCTTTTCCATAAACACCAAAAAAGTATAGTTTAAGTATAATATAATGATTTTGCTTTTGTACTAACAGTTGTAGGGCAATAAACTCTGAAAAGCGAAAAGACAGTTGCTAACTATTTGAGTAGGTTGGGTTAAATTTCGCACCTAAAAGGAATCTCACTTAGACAGCCTATAACGATGATCCATTGTGGTACCTAGCAATCGAATAAAAATGTATCTTAAAAACCCTAATAAATTGTTGAGCCGGCCAATGTCAATTTCGGCTATGTCTCGTGGTTCGCTTAAGGTATGACTGCCGAGATGCTTTAGCATCTTGCAAATGTTGGACAATGGAGAAGAAAGTGTCTGGCTGTTTCCACCTTACTTTCTTCCATACAACTCTCACAATTTGCGTCCGATTGGATAACTATTTTAGGAACAAGTTGAAACTTTTGACCATGTGACCTTGATTTTTACAAAATTTTGCTCAGTTTTAATAAATACCAAAAATTTAACGTTTAAGGCGATTGAAAGATTTCTTAAAGTTACCAAAAACGCCAACAAAAAACAGAAAATTTTCAATTGTATGACCAAAATTGTTCTAAAATGGTTATGTATCTCCCAAAACACAAACAAGTGTGAAGCCTCGAGATGAAGATCGGCCTCGAATTGCTAAAGACAGTATTTTTTGAAGTCAGATTGGTCTTGATTGGACCTCATGCATTGCCAAAGCAAATAATAATTATTTCTATATATTTTGTAAAGTTACGAAACTCTCCAACAAAAACCATAAAATTTTCAATTGTATGACCAAAATTGTTCCGTATCTCCCAAAACAACAAAAAAAGTGTAACGTCAAGATAACGAACTAAGGCAATTCTTTGTGAAGTTAGCAAACCTCTATTGTTGCACTTCAAGTTATTATATTCCCGTTAGTTTATCTAAATATGTTTGTGATCTCGTAGAGGCGGGACAGTCAAAAATGAAGAGTTGAGATTCCACCTCATCTTCTTCCAAGAAACATTTACTCTTGACATGCTGTAAAATTTTTAAACTTAACGCGCGGACTTTAATTGGTCAATAACCAGTTAAGATCGCTACAACTAGGAAAGACAATTATTGTCGAGCTCACTCGACCTAATGCTGTTTACCACAAGGAAGAAGGATCCTGCGACTACGCAAGTACTAGTAGTTGACCAACAGTCGATAAGCTCACGTGGTGTCCTGTAACGCAGTAGCAAGAAGCCAGCGGAGCTCCGACTTGTTTCCATTCTACTGATAGAGAGACTAAGTTACTTTTCCTTGCAAGCTCATAAGTTTTACAATTTCCTGCCATTCTACTGCGACCAGATTTCAGACTAATAGTCCTATCAAGAAGTTAAGGTTTGAGTTCATAGAATTTGCAAAGCCCAGCAAACTACAGCTTCTTTTTGGTTAAAGCTGCAAATCCCACGCTCAAAGCCTGTTATAAAGACTTTAAAGTGTTTATTAACAGCGCATTTAAAACTGTTCCAGTAGTGTGTACCGGCTGTCGACAAAACCTCTTCGCAGTCTATTTTTAGTTACATCCTTAATCAAAGCAGATAGTAGGCAACTTCGAGAAGTTCACTATGGCTTTAAGTAGGACAACGCATTCAAACTTTATGATGAATCTAAATACCAAAATGTGTTTTCAGAAAGAAAGCCTAGAGGGAAATGAACCTTACTTATTTCTGATGTGTTGGTTATAGCAAGCAAGAGGCGGTTCCTTATATTATTTTACTTTATTTTTTGTAAGTATCACTTCACCCCTTCGCAATACCTGGGAAAGTCATGCACAGCTATTGGCAGCACTGCTCTCGGTTCGCCCGACACGACACCGTAGAAGGCGGCGCGCCTGTAGGGCACATAAATTGTGTGTCGCCTTCGTCGCGGTATGCGCGCTCTTTGCTTATAGTCACGATAATGATTGGCGATTTCGTGTTGATAAGTTTCATTGAAAAAGTACGTGGGATTGTAGATTTTACGTGTTGGCAATTGTGGTAGGGGGCGCGACAGCTGTAATTGTAACGATTTACCGGTGACCGCAAACGTCGGCGGCGATGTTGACTTTGCTGCAGGAAACGACATTTTATGCGAACACTTCACTTGTCCTCACTTGTCGACAATTGAAATTTAAGAGATACTGAAAAGTTTAGGCCGTAGAAACCGTAAGCGTTATTTAAGTATCAAGTACCGTTATACGACACAGGCGCTGTTGAACTGACAAAAAGCAAGCAAAATTTTCACAAATAATACGACTAGATAGATTGATGGCAAAATGAAGTCGAAGCGATAGTTAGACATTGCCGGAATTCTTGCGGAAATGAGGCGGCCTATTCCATCAAGCGATGGTTGACTGTGTGCGCAGTGTTTGGGCGGTTGGGTGGTTGCGGCAGGTCGTATTTTATTTATATTGCATTAGATTAGAACAGTCAAAGTGGAAAATGTCGTCGATAGCAACAATTTGTGGTTGTTAACACGTCAATGCACAATTTATTACGAAAATTGACAAACAATTGAAAACATGAAAATGCAATTTGGTAATAATATGCCTCGTTTATTAAGTTTTCCATGCAAACGTGTGGGTTTGGGTTAGGTACCGTTGACTTTAGAGATTATTAAATGCGGAAAATATTTATAACCCTTACCCAGTAGAAAGCATTAAAATGCCGGAAAGCCAGTAGTATTTAAAAAATCATATCCACTAACGAAATTTCCTCGTATTCAACAAAAGCGTGCATTTGTAGTGCGCAGGGTTGTATTTGAAAACAGAATTTTAGAGTTAACAGCTTTAACTGAAACTTATATGGTTCGGATTTACTAAACTTTCCTTTTTTTGATAATTTAGCTTTGCTGGGAGCTTTAGGTTAGGTTTGGTATAGTAAAGTGTGTCGATCCTAACAAGTAACACTGCCAAGATGTTTCAATCTCAGTCTTGCAAAGGCTACACTATGGAGGAGAAAGTGCCTGGATATTTCCACCGCACTTTCTTCCATCCAACTTGTGTCCGAAAACACCTCTAGCCTTACAGTATGAACGCATATTGAACAAAGTCCGATATGAACTCATACGATTGCGATGAGGTGAACTTTGCTTAGGGGGAATAGTTCAGTGGATCTCCTGCGTTCTACTCAAAGCCAAAGGATCTCGCAGTCGCAGAAAAGCTGCTCCTCGACTAGTGCTAGTTTAGAACGCAAGTTGGCAACGGTATTATATTTGATATAAGTTAGATAAGCGAACCTATTCGATCACGCTTTTCACGCTATGCAATTTCCAGTGGTATATCTGCTTTTTTTCACTGCTTTTTTATATAAAATATCAATTTTGGCACGATTTCTTACTAAACTTAGCCTACAATTTGTTTATCGTAAAGAATAATCTGAAAGATATGAGGTAGACAAACATCGATTTTTAACCGACAAAGCACTGTCAATTCGGCAGCATTCCAAAAAAATATTTGGAAAATCTTTCGCGACAACCACGCACCTTTCTTGTGTACTAGAATAAAGAACCTTTAACAAAACAACCTTTGTAATATTAAACCTAATTCTATATAATAAAGTATTCAATGCTAACAAATACCAACAAAATAAATATTTTATATATTTTATGTATGCACGTCACCTCTACTTCACCTTTGCCTAATTTTACTACTGGGCATTATTACTGATGGGCACATAAATTAATAAATAATGCAAAAATACAAATATTTTGCTACAGGAATGCAAATATTGTAAAAAACGCAAATAAATTCGAAATAAAAAGCATATAAATTATTTATTGATGTATACAATGTCAAATTTACATAAATGTACATACATTTCTTTTTATGTACTTATATACTTATAAAGAGGGGTGTACGTTCAGACAGCACAACTTTTATTCAATCGTTTGAATTTTAAGCGCTTGTGCATAACTATAGTAAGAGCTTGATGGGTATACATACATGTATATACTTGTACAAAATTTGTATATACCTAGGTATATACTCGTATGTTATAGATAACTATATAATTCAAGCAGCAAACATTTATGATTGCATACTAATAATATTGTTTTGGTTTTTCAATATTTGGTTAGGCTTCTTTGAGGTTCAAGGTTAGTTCAGATAATATGTTCAATAGGGATCACATTTGGCTGATTAAAAGCAATTCCTTTGAAATATCAAGCTTCTTAAGATGGTTCTAACCCTCATGTATCGAGAAAGCGTCTTGAACCCAACACTAAAATGCTAAGGCGATAGACTTCGAGTGACATAATAAAAATGTCTAGTATTTTGAGTACTTTCTACTTATTTTATCATAAAATGACTATGTCCCGCTATTTTTCAATTGTGCCAAGTGAAAAACCAAATTTCTATGAATTTATCGAATGAAAAAAACCAAACTTATAAAAAGTAAGATATTTTATGGTTTTGAGGCATTATTTTGTGAAATAATATAATATATAAAATTTTAAAATTATCTTTTACGATTTAAGATATATTTTTTTATCCTTAATAGAAAGATTTTATGGTGGCCAAGTATTGAGAAGAGGATAAAGAAGGCATTTTTTGGCCGAATCGCTGGAAACTGCATAGCCGATGAGCCAGCAAGAGGGGGCATGCTTATCCCCTCACATCGGAATGGGAACGAGTTGAATCCCCGTTGTCATCTTGCGTTTTATCACTAGACCTATGAACCTCGCGTGCGCTTAGCAGTCATTGGTTGACGACCAGCCTCTTCACGACTGCGAGATCCTTCTGGCCTAAAGTAGAACGTAAGAGATATACTGAACTACCTGGCTCTGCCAATGTTCATCTCGATTATAAAGATCTTTAAGATCAATTTTATATGAGCTCTAGGTACCACCACCGACAGGCTATAAGCTGAATCATTTTGAACCTAACCTAACCTAAGTTTGGACTTTGACCTCTAATAGCTTTTGAGCGAGTCGACTTGGCAAAGAATCATTTTGAACCTTTTTTGTAGATCGTTAAACTACTTAAAAGAAAACGTTTTCAATTGTTTTATACAATAATTTCATCAAAAAATAAAATTAAAAAATTTTAAGCCTTTTTCATTTAATACCAACTTCAATTGTAATATATTATTATTTCTAAAATCGTTTGCATTCATTACATACCGGGTGGCAGCACCTTTGAACCTTAGCTCTTTTGGATATATTGTTTAAACTATTTGCTTTAAAGTTCTTGAGTCATATTTGATTTATTTTAGAATTTTAATTGAATAAAATAATTTTAGTATGTGGCAACCGCTCTCAAGAAATATTTTCAACTGTTAGAGTTTTTGAGCGCCTATACTTGTAATTCCATATTGTTGTAATAGGTTTTGCATCACCATATTTTTGTAATTTAAACAAGTAGTAACCGTCTTAAAACTAAATATACGTTTTTTCATGTAATTTAATTTTTTACACCAAAATTTCAGACAGGTGGTAACTTTCATTAATTGTTGTTGTTTAATATTCAAGTATCACACTGACGAAAAATATTATTAAATTCCGTACATCCTTCATTATAGTGGTACTTTTTATGTATACTGATTCTACTACCGAGTGTAAGGGGTCTCACTTCAAAAGGTGAATTTTTGCCAAGTCTGGTCCATTTTTTACACTTAGTTTTGGTAGTACGTTACGACAACTGATTAAATAGTCATTGGTAGTGGACTATGAATTGAGGAAACTTGGAATGAGTATTTGACCGTAAGAACTCTGTACTTAGACACACTGTATTTAATGGTGCTAAACAGCTTCTAATTAAGAAATTAATGGCTTCATTATGCTTCCTAACTTCCTGTATAGTTATTAGAAATAATAAAATTTCTTTAACAACTGAATTCTTAAGAAAAAAATTAAGAATTGAGGTTAAAAAAATACACCCTTACGGATTATTTCTAATATATACAGACTTATATAAAAAATGTTAAGCGTAAATACGATATCATTGCAAATGCAGGTGTAGACACACTTATTATTATATATAATTCACGATATTCATTAAATACTTAAGTAAATATATATACATACAAAAAAAAAAGTGAGCTCACCGTCTCGTCAAATTCTTGTATAATTTTCATGTTTCGAGCGCGTAATAATTACGAGAAATACAATTAAATCACTGCCATCGTACACTTCTGCGCAAAAAAGTCACGATCGAAGAATGCCAAATAAGTGAGGTTAAGTTGTTGTGCTCGTACTAAGAAAAAGTAAGTTCGTTAATGAAATTCGCTGAAGAAATGCAAAATATTGCGAAACACATACACATTCATTAACACTAAAACACTCTTACGCACGTGTGTCCTTGCGAAGCGAGTGTGCCGGGACTTTTGCGAAGTTATTAATTATGCAACTAATTATACTTTTGTTAATGGAAAAAAGCATACAGCACGAAACCTGGAAAGGCGTAAAGTCAATGTCAAATGGCAAATATGGCATACAGATACAATACTATATAACCGCATATACTATATGTATGTGAACTTCTGCGAATGCATGCCCGTAAATAATTACGGGCAAATTAAAAGAGTTAAGCCAATAAAATGTTTGAGCGTGACTGCTGTATGGGTAGAAGTAAGAATTCACAAAAGAGACGTAAATATATATTATTATTATTATTATATAAGTATATAAATGTATATTGCAACACGTAAGTATGTGAAAATGTAGTATTAAGGGTAGTCTAAAAATTCAAAGTAAGGGAATATAATTTTTTTCAGGTTTCGATAGTTTAGATACAGATTCCTAAAAAGATTTTTCGAAACTCTTCGAAAAAGAATAACCGTTTGCCGTATTAGCTCGGCCGGTTAATACTAACCCTTTTAAGCTTAGAACTTTTTCTCTAAACTCGTTTTTTCGATGCGGTTCAGTCAATGAAATGTTGAATGACTTCGCATCCATTGCTTTTATTTGAGCTCTTGAATCGTCCATTCTTGTCATATGACCTAGCGATCTTATTCGTTGCGTTTTAATAAATCCGACCACATTTGCGCATTGAATTAGCTGGTCAAGTTTATCATTCCATCTCATTCTCCATACATGAGTCTCTGATTCTGCCTGCGCCGAAAATTTTTCGGAGATTTTTTCTTTCG